GAGTTTCGGCATCTCTTGCCCGTTACACATGCATCACAAGATCCGGCGTTTCTTGCCCATTACTTTGCGTCGTTAAACCCGGCGTCTCTTGCTGGTGATGCAATGGAGAAGTTCTTCGTTATAGTGGTGCTACGTTGTCAGCACTGTGTACTTTGCTCATAGCTACATGTATTATTGTTGCCTTTACTTGTGTATCGTTCAAGGTGTTTCTGGGGCCCCATAGCAATTCCTGTAAATCCATAACATTTGTATTTATTGTTTCAAGCTGCGGCTGGAATAAACGCTGGGCGAAGAAAGCTAAAGCATGCCCAAAATCTGTGTTCCCGTGTCCTCTCAACTTCTCTGGGCCAATGACTTCCCAAACAGTCAAGTATTATTCATCTCTTTGCCAAAGATTATTTACTTTATAAAGCACTATCTACTGTTGACGACAACGCTGCTCTACAAGGAGATCTTAACTATCTGAAGTTATGGGCCAGTATTGTGAAACATGCAGTTTAGCATTGAGAAATGTCATAGCATGACTACATGTATGTCTCTTCTCTGTAACAACATTGAGACCACCAACACTCTTGGTCCAAATGTTCTGATGGTTGTCTCAGAACATCTCTATCTAGGTCTGTACTTCACTCACCAACTTTCATGAAACTAACACATTGATAAAAAATCATGAACAATGCTAGCAAAGTCTGAAGTTTGATTCATCGCAACTTAAAACACTGCACCAATGCTCTCAAGGAACGTGCACACACTGCCTTAGTTCTGCCTCGACTGCAATACTGCAGTTGTATTTGGGATCCTAATGTTAAAATTACTATCAACAAGAGAGAGGCCATACAAAGAAAAGCTGCAGGGTTTGTCATCAACAAATATTGTCCCACTGAGAGCGTGACTTTAATGGTAAAGAAATTGAAATGGCAGTCAGTGGAAATTTAAGCCCGTCAAAGAAATGCCCGACATATATCCACGACCAGTTACCATCTCTCAGCCTACATGTACATAATTTTTTAACTCCAGCCATCCCAAGAACATGTGGCCATCATGAAATATCGCCAAATATTTTCTCACACCAATGTTTACAAATACTCTTTGGAATAACCTTCCTACAGTCACTTCTGCTTCATTATCTCTGTTCAAAACCACCCTCAGTACATACCAGATGTTCATCAGCCTTACGCGCATCCTTGCCATGATATCCCAATGTGGGGACTTTGCCAAGTAAAAAAAAAAATGAAAAAAGCAAAAGTCTTTGAGTACGTTGGACTTGACTCTGTGTACCGTAACCTAAAACTTCATAGGGAACAGGTCTCAGGATCTGACAACTTTCATTGCATCAGAACTGACGGAGGACCTCTTTGTAAGCAATTCCAAGAAGTAGCGTTAATATGCGTATCATTTGATCATTTTTCTTAAGGTCAAATACTTGCACAAACTTTGATCGTTCTACAGAATCCTGTAGTTACCTAAGTTAGCGAGGTGGAACTGAAACTGGACAAACTTAACAAGGAAAGTTTAGGAATAACTTGACTGAGCTCACAGAAGTACACTCCCAAACATATCTGTTCCCAAATAGTTACACACATTTGTGAACATTTTCTCATGAAAAGTTCACACGATCCCTCACTATTTCGGTTAGCTTGGAGGAATTACTATCAAAGTTCACTTCATTCTGTGTCCATTTCAAAAATCTCCCTAGAGAATAAAAGCCTCAACAGGAACCTCATATTAAGGAGTAATGCTCCTGAAGAAAATTACATGGTACATCATGTTCAGCTGTAGTCCCCCATATTACGGGGAGTGAAACTGACAAAGTCCAGCAAGACCTACCTTAAGGCAAAATTTGATTAGAATTTCACTGGGTTACTGAACATACGGAAGACATGTACATGCCTTCCCATCCTGCTCAAATCTGGCAAGGAGAATACCTCAAGCTGGGTTCAGACAAAAGTGAGAGCAAAGTGGATTTGATGTCACAAACAACTGAAGTGAAATTTTACTTGACTTAGGGCGCGCTCAACTTTTACAAATTTGCAGTGTGACTATTTGATCTGACCCCACTGGTTCATGTTTGTGTAAGGGAGGATCCCATGCTAGGCAATGAGAAATGTCAACTGACTCTTTTTTTAAAGACTGATCAGCTGAGACAGGTTGCCCACTCTAATAAATACATTTATGCTTCAATAAGCAGAGTGAAATAATAACCTTAATCTTACTTTACATTGAAGTCTTGCTTAACATTATATTCATGACCAAAAAAGGTTTGAAACTAATGAAACATGGGCACATGAGTTCATCCTTGCTATGTCATGTTTCACGAGCAACCAACACACAATGTATTTGTCTGAACCAAAATTTACTAGTTTTAAGACTCGTTACCTGATCTGAAGATTTGCAAGTATTAGGCTCAAGTCCAGGTCATGGTCCCACAGTCCCTTGCTGCATGACTGGGCTAGCTTCTGAAGCTGCTTACCGCATGTTGGCAGTCTGCCAAGAAGTTCGGAAGCCGAGTTGGCAGTGCCATCATCAGAAAGAGATGACAACTGCTCCTTGTTTGAGCGTGAGGGTGAGGCAGCATCCTGTCCTGATTTGGAAGTCTCCTCTGTGTCTTGTTCTGGCGCCCTCTTGTGTCTTGCTTTGGAGATAGCGTATAATGTCTCATTGACCTCATCCTTGCCACCTTTTGTGAAGATGGATGGGAAGACAGTCTTGATGTCGTTGATGACATCCTGTTTGATGCTATCATCACGGCTGATCAGATTCAACATGAATAATCCTGGAAATGAAAAAGAGAACAGAAGGATTGCTTTCAAATAGTGGGGTGCAACAGCATAGTACTAGGGTCTCATCCAGCAACCTGTCCACCCGTCTTTTGTATGAGCAGAAAGCGATTTTGGACTTGGAACTTTGCAAAATGGGCAGTAAAACAGGATGGGTAGAATTCTGCAAAACATACAAAAAACTGACAGGTGGATTTGAGGTACAAATTTATACAGTATGTATTTAAAGTGAATAAACTATTTTGTTCAGATTAACAACACGAAAATATCTCGAAAAAACCACTGCTGACCTACACGTACATGTATATAAGGACAAATGCAACTAGCCCGCTAGGCTGAACAGCATGTGATGAGTCATTTGCATGCACTTACTTCATGTGCACATGAAGTTAGTGTATATTGAATTAGATCCTTATCTTCCTGAAAGCAAAAGCAAAAAAAAACACCTCTTTAGGGACGATCTCAAGTCCCCTTCCCTCCCCCTGGGCGCAATACCGAATATCGTCTGCTCTCCTGGTACGTGACTGGAATAAATACACAGAGCAAACACGGCGGCTTTTGGAAGTGATATCACTCCACGGGTGAAGGATTTTGCATTCCGAAATGACAATTCCTCACTTGTACTTGGGCAGAGAGACTTTGACTTGCCTTGAGTTTGGACCACATGACGTGTGACTTGACTCAGACTTTCAAAAAATGACATATCTTGACTTGAACTTGCAAACACTGACATGTGACTTGAGATTTGAAGCTTTTCAAGGTGAAGTAGTAAGTTAGGTAAACTTAGATTTGTGGTAGCACCGTGCAAGGATAACTCTTTTCGAGTATGTGTGGTTCTGAAAAAAACCTAAGGGTATTCAATGTTTCAGACAGTATGCTTTGTCCATTGTCAAGAGACCCAACTTGATGTACACTTGCTTGGACTTGCCTAGACTTTTTACAGAATGCGCCACCTCACTGACACTAGAAGTCAAACTAAATGGTGCTGCTGTTCCATTTGGAAAGAAATATTAAGAATATTTATACGTATATGTACTTTCAGGAATAAGACTTGACAATCTACCTTGTGGATGTAAAATGGAGTCCACTTTCTTCAGGAAGGCTTTTTCGATGAAGGGTCTTGGTGGAGAGTTGAGGCCTGTTGAGAGATCCTTGGCGTCAACATCAAACAAGACGACATGGTAGGTAGGGCTGGTGGTTTCTGGTATGAAGTGAAAACAACACAGCTGGTCACGCCATACCAAAGAGAGATGATGAAGCTACTTTATGGAGCCAAAGCTTCCTGGCCTTCAATACACCTGCTATTTCGAAGGACACAATAAAACAAACTCTTGGTGAACGGAGCAACGCAAGGATTAATTCCAGAGAGAATCAAGAGTTAACAAGAGAATCAGTGGTGTATCCAGGTCTTGGGTCTATGGAAGAGGGGAAGGCGCAAATAGAATCGTTTCCAAACAACTGTCAATTTTTTTTTCCTTTTGTCAAAGAATCCTGGTGAATTTAGTACCATTTCTACAATGCTGTCTATTCCTACCTTTGTAGGATGTACAGAGCTATCTGATGCTCCTGCAAAGAGTCAAACTTTTCCATTCATTTCACATGCAACGGTTTCTAACTCCAAGGTCAGAAGTGCTTCCTCTACCTTCAGCTAGCCTTGTGATGTACTCCAGCCCGTCTGCTATAGACACTTTCATTCGTTCATCTTCAGTGAATTCAAAGCAAGACTTAGCTACCTCAGCAATTGCTGCATCTAACTCCACCACATCAATGAGTAGCTAGGAAAGAAAGAATAATGAAACGAAGGTGAGTTCATAGCTGTCAAGAAAATGCAAACACGTCAATAACAATATCCGTTTAAAAAAATCCAGCCACGGGCACTCCATGTCAAGAAACGAATGCACTTGTATGCCGGGTATTTCTGAATGAAATAATGCATACCATGGCTTGGGTAATATTCTAATGGCATCGCTTTTTGAAGAATCATCTGCAATACAGGCAATTCACAATAATAAAGTGTGCTACCATGAGGTTGCCACAGAGAGGCCCTTGTTTTTCCAGTGCATTACTGGAAACAGTCAACAAATTCTACATGTATTTGCCATCTGCATGCAGGGAACTACAGTCACTCCCAATGTTAGTGTGTCCCAGTGAAACATTCGTAAGTATATTTGTATGTCAGTTTCAATTAATCTTGCTCAACTTTAATGTATTTTGTTTGTCACAATATACTGCACTCAGAATATCTAATAGTGCGAACAAGCACCCAAGCATATACTGAATTGGCAGAACAGTTGCTGTTTTTTTTTTCATTACACATGCAATCGTGTTACTTCAAATAACAACGGCAACTTAAAATTTGCTGGAACTTGCTGACTTCTGTGATCAAGCAGTGTGGTACCTTTGGGAAGTGTTGGTGCAAAAACATAGGCAGAATACCAGCGCCAAGACCAACGATTAAAAGCCGCATCTCCCTGGCAAGAAGGTCAAGGAATTGTGGGACTGCAGCGAGGCCTGCCACCATGTGCTTGTGAAAGTTAAAGTCCAAGTAATTGAAATCAATGGCGACCTTTGACCCGGATCCTTTGTCCTTCTGTTTTTGCCTCCCCTTTCTGGGTCGTTCTGAAAAAAACAAACAAAAGCTAAATCAGTTTATAACTCGCTGGGAAAAGTTTAACTCTAAGGTATCTAGGGCCAACTTTATAGCATTATTGAATGATTAGCAGATTAACTGTAGTTTATGAACTAATCCCTGCAATTTGAATAAAGATAGGCTAATAGGTTAGACCCGTAAACAGGGCCCTACGTACACTCCTCTGTCATATACCAGGCCCTGTCCTGATTAATTTTGATTTCTTTCAATCAAGTTTATCCAGGATGCCTCGGGGAATTATTTGACATGCGCTGGATCTTATGAGCTGAAATTGCACCGGTATGTTTAATACTTACAAGGCTAACTATGCTCCAGGTTGTTATTTGCAGAAAACTCACATTTCCTCGTTTGGAGGAAAAAATGTTGCCTCCCCAAGCTTGAAGTTGAACGTTTTCCCTATCTGGAAGAATTTCAACTGGACTCGCGCATTACACAAACTCCTTTGTATGGTTAAGTGATGGTTGCTTTTGCAGAGAGCCTGTCTGATGCAGTGATGGAGTAATTGAATGAATTTCACGGCAAATCATGAACACGTATCACTACACCACCACATGAAAATAATCCACTGCTGAAAGCCAAATTGTGCATAGGCCCTATGGTTATTGCATGAAAATACAGCCATAGTAATTCCACAGTTCTAATAACAATGTACACACACAGAGGGTTACTGAATACAAATGGTAACTTTATTCTTTTAACAATAGACATAACGAGGTATACAGGTATAAGACAAACAAATTAATAACTGCACTGTGTACGGTTAAATTGGAAAAGGTCAAAAGCGGTGCCTTCAAATATTTCCTACCGGCTAGAAAATGGGATAGTTTTGTCATGAAGTCTATTTAATATTCATGGTTTTGCAGTGAGCGACTGTCAAGTTGATTTTCCCAAGTATCTTTATCTACTTTGCTACAACACTGTAATATTAGCAGGCGATTGCTATTCAGTCAGGAGTATTGCCACACATGGGCATAAGTGACCTTTCTTTGTGCCCCTATTGATACAATTTTTGTCCAACTTCAGCGTTAAATATCTCAAATTAGCAACAATTAATTCTAAGTCGCATCGGTACAAACATGTTTTAAAAGTCTAGTTGATGTCTGTATAAATTACTTCATTTTTGCACAGCCAATCAAATGTTAGCAAACGGTATTTTTGTTCCATATGCTCCGTTTAAGACAAGCACTTCTTCACACGAAAAGACTCGCAATCCATCGTGGTCTGCTAGAGCAGGCCATGTGATTGGTCAGATTCCCAGCGTTTCTTGACATAATAGCACATCCACATATGGTAATAATCCAGACTGCTATTGCATTAGTTGACACTGCTGTCTAAACAGAACTGTTGCTTAAGCATGCTTGTTAGAAGAAAATCAAAGGATTAATCTCTTCTGTGATACATCCGATGAGTCTAATGAAGGTACAAGTAGCCATAGAAAGACTGAACTTCAGAATATCGCCATGGAGCTAGTGGCATTGTGTGCATACCTTATACATGTACATGTACCAAGCACACCGAGTTGTGCACCTTCATGTAACATACTGTACGTATACATGTGCTTTTAATCATAAGGAAGCACACATATGGAATAATGGGATGCTTAGTCATTGATGTTACAGTGGGGTACCCTGTTTATATCACTGGTAAGTGAAAATTTAGATGTGAACATTGTCAATAAAATATAACTTATTGTATTTCACGGTACCATCAGGAATGCAACTTGGACTTCAGCAGAATAAAACGAGGAAATTCCAATCTTTGCAAGACTTTGTACAGTGCTTCCAATTTTCAGTGGCACGAGTGTGAAGTGAAAAACAAGGAAATCAGCTGCAGCTCATCTGAGGAAAAGTTGCACACCTGTTCCACAGATTCCAATTTCCATCATTCCATCCATTTCTTTTTTGGGGGGGGCAGTAACATGCAATTAGTGTTCGGGAGATTCATTACTAACACTTTTCGAACATTCAAAAGCACCAATGATGCTTCACAATTGTACATATATGTGTGTACAAATGCTCTGTACAGTTATGAACTTAAGAACTGCTTGCTGGAAGATAATTGTGAGCTGTGTTACATGTACTTTGATCATAACAGGGATACACGGGTATCAGCTTTAACTTCAAGTTANCCCAGTACTTCTTATGTTACTATACAAGTTAAACGTTAGAACGTGTGGCAGCAAGCAAAAAATGTTATTCTCCATGCACTGACTTCCATTTTTTGGGGGGTGGGGGTAATATTTGCTTTGGATTATTACCAATGATGCAGTGATGGAGTAATTGATTGAATATCACGGCAAATCATGAACACGTATCACCACACCACCACATGAAAATAATCTACTGCTGAAAGCCAAATTGTGCATAGGCCCTATGATTATTGCATGAAAATACAGCCATAGTAATTCCACAGTTCTGATAACAATGTACACACACAGAGGGTCACTGAATACAAATGGTAACTTTATTCTTTTAACAATAGACATAACGAGGTATACAGGTATAAGACAAACAAATTAATAACTGCACTGTGTACGGTTACATCGGAAAAGGTCAAAAGCGGTGCCTTCAAATACTTCCTACCGGCTAGAAAATGGGATAGTTTTGTCATGAAGTCTATTTAATATTCATGGTTTTGCAGTGAGCGACTGTCAAGTTGATTTTCCCAAGTATCTTTATCTACTTTGCTACAATACTGTGATATTAGCAGGCGATTGCTATTCAGTCAGGAGTATTACTGCACATGGGCATAAGTGACTTTTCTTTGTGCCCCTATTGATACAATTTTTGTCCAACTTCAGCGTTAAATATCTCAAGTTGCTTCACAATTGTACATATATGTGGACTCATTATGGACTCACGCACTGCTTGCTGCAAGATAATTGTGAGCTGTGTTACATGTACTTTGATCATAACAGGGATACACGGGTATCAGCTTTAACTTCAAGTTAGGAGGCTATCCCTGAACCAGCACAAGTTGAATTGGAGGTAATGGAGGTAAGATCATGTTTGTTTTGAAGATGATACTCAGAGAAACCAGACACTGTGTGGCATTGCAATCCTGTCACTTGCTGGTTGCATTGTACAATTAATTTGTTGAATGTCCATTGGGAACAAAGTTCTGAAAGTCATAGGAACAGCTGAGTTCTACTGGTTCCCAATGACAGGGTTGCTCATCTACAGGATAAACGGAAATGGAAGTACAATTCCAATCACGGACTGGGATTACCAAAATGTTCCAAAGTGTACTTTACCGAGATGTAGTCTAACAGAAGTACATATAGACAATCGATTTATAGCATGGTTGGCACTAGTTGCTGGCTAACAAGTATGAAACCCTGTGTTAAGGAATGCGACGTACTGATACATACGCACACTGCACACTGTGTACTGAAAGGAATTATACTGTTATTCAACTTTAACATTTATTGTCAGAATTTGGACGAATGGTTTCTGTTGTATAGTTTTGCTAACATTATTTCACAATTCTGCTGTTGCTGGGGCATCTTTTCTGGCAGAGGGTACAGCACATGCACTTCCTCCAGGTGCATGTAACAGTGCAACGTTCTGTGCAGTTCTGTTGAAGAGGGACAGCTTCTACTCGTGTCTTTCAGCCACAAACTGGGCAAAATTGTTTGTGTCATGCAAGGTAACTAGCCACTGTCTATTTTCCAACACAGGATAGTTTGCCCTGTAAGTATTGAACAGACCGGTGCAATTTCAGCTCATAAGATCCAGCGGATGTCAGATAATACCCCCAGGCATCCCGGATTAACTTGATCGAAAGAAATCACTATCAATCGAGACAGGGCACAGTATATGACAAAGGAGTATATGTAGGGCCCTGTTTACTGGTCTAATAATAGGTCTACTTCTGGTCACTGGATCACTTAGTACATACCTGTATATCCACAAAGCAAAGATGATGCTGCCGGAATAATATCTTTTATTTGTGCGTTTACCTTTAACGCTGGGCAAGGTAGAATCTAAATTCCGTCCCCTAATTTTTAAGACCTTGTCATAATGCTTTTATCCTAGTCTGCATTCAGGGGTGTTTGTTGATGTCTTGCATTCAGTTTAACAAAGTCAATTTTATAAAAACTGAACGCATCATATCTCAAGTCAGAAAGGTCAAAGATAGAGACTTGTCCCACTAAATGCCAACACTAATGTGAACTACTACAAATCAGCAAAATCCTTTGTTGGAAAAAATTTAAAACCTCATACTTTATATCTTCTTATGCTGGTTTGAAAAAGGACTGGTCATCAGACAGCTGATCCCAAAACAGTGCAATCCCATCTCCAATGACAGGTTCAAAGGCCTGGGCCTTTTAAGGTTAAGGGTAGTTCAAACCTTCGTCGGTTGCACCAAGTGACGTATCGTGTGTACAAAGTCTATGGACTGTACGTTACTTCACGGCGCACCAAAACTATCCTATACGTGGTGAAACGGACGATTAAAAGACTGGAGCTATGAGACCATGAGTTCATTTGTACTGTTATCACACAAAACAAGTAACACGGCAGCTTACCTTTTTTAAGACGAGCCTGTGACTGAATCAGCGTGCCACTCAAAAACAGAAGCCTCCTGAATGTTTCCCCGTCGTCACTCTTCACGTCCTCCACCACAAAGTCTCCCGTCCACTGGCTGTTGCCTCTATAAAGCACGTCTCTCTGCCCTATGTCATCCCCGACTGATATGAAGGGTACCTGGATGGAGCAAGAAAGTTCTATCAAAAGCTTCCACGGAAATATACAACTTTTTAAGTTACTGAAAAGACTCAATGTAAGTACCAACAGACCGATAATGTTTTCTTAACTTCTTTCATATCCAAGGTAGCATCGCAGTATTTGTGGAGGTTTTTGCAGAATGCTACTCCATGGTTATTGGCGATGCCATGGGAGGAAACCACAGCCAAACGCAAGAATTATCGAAACAGATGAACAACTTCAAAAAATATTCATTAATACCTAAAATGATTTAGCCATTGAAACTTGTCGAGAGCCCATCATTTGGCAGGTCTTAAAAGGTCGATTAACCACCATCTGGGTATACACCACTTTACAGAGTATGTATAACACATGCATCAATCTTGACATAAGGAGATTGTCTACAACTACTCCCAAGACAAACATTAAAAAATGAAGTAATATTCCTGTTTCCAGAACAGAATCACCAGAAATCAGTAATTTTTAAAACTTGTTTTGAATGGAAGGTATGGATGCCCGAGCCAAAGAAGACAGACATTATCAGCATCTATTCTCCTTAGCCGGTCTACTCATCTTAAACGTTATCAGCAAAGCACATATGTATTCTCATATTACCACACTAAGTTAAACAAGAATACCACACTAAATATGGGATATTTCAGGGGAAAAAGCTCTGTCAAAGAAGAACAAAGAAACAGCCAACTCTGAGGAGAATGCAGTCATGTAATAAGTTAAAAGTGATGACCAGGCTTTGATTTCTCTTAAGTTATGAGCTATAGTGGCATCGCTGTAGTTATGGCAATATTTACAATATAGAGTATTTACAGGGAAAATACAGGCTGAGAACAAAATGCAAAGAGGGGAAAAAATCTCATTTAAGTCAATGTGGTCGATTGATTAGTCAAAGTATGTGACCAGGGATTGATTTCTCCCAACCTGGTCTAACTTACGACGTGCCAAAGACTGGCAGTATTTATTAAGGATAGCGGTGCTATGATTGATTACTCATCACAGTTATACATACATGTACAACAGCATAAAAGGCTCTAAAACACCCAGAGAATTGAAGAGTCTGAAAGTGAAAAAAAAAAAGATTTGGGAAAAACAAGGTGTGTGTAATGATTGCTGTTGAGAAAGTCCTGCTGCAAACAAGGGCGTCACTCTGTTTTGAAAAGTAGGGGGGGTCATAGCCCTGATCACAACAAATACGAGTGTGAGCACGAAGCTCTGAGTGGCGGTGGGTCTGGGAACCACTTAAGAACCTTGGAAAATTTTGGAGTATAGATGCTCTGTGGTGTGATCTGAGACAATTTTTGGCTATTTTAGCCTTTTTTTTTAACAAATGCTTTTGCAAGCTACACATTTTCATTTGGGTTTGGAAAAAGTAAGGGGGGCAAGTGGGGAGAAATGTTCCCCCCCATCCGTCCGCCCACGGCTGCCAAACTTGAAAAGGTTGAAAGTCTCAGCCTACCTGTATGCTTTCGTCAAGTCCTGGCGGAGCAAGCTCCATGACTTGACTGGACAGCTCTGCCTTGATGGAGCTCATGTCAGTGTAAAAATGATCCCGGTGTAACGACACAACAAGCAGTCGCTGGAACCCTGCCGATTCGGCTAACTTTCTTCTGCCTTTGTCTGTGGAAAACATCCATTCTGTCTCTCTGCAGGTAGAACAATAATCCAAATAAAAACACACAAATTGACATATTTCTATTTAGGAGATTCCTTGCATTAATCAAGATGCAAAATTCCATCTCTACCTCTCATTTAAGGTTTGGTCTGAGTGGTCGTCCTTTTTTCTTTTTTTTGTGGAAATTTTGATTGTCCGTTTCAGAATGTCTGTTTCTGACACATGACAAAAATGCCCTTGAAGTATAATAATTGGATCTGTGACTAAATCCCCCTGATCAGTGAAGGAGGTTTGACCCAAAGTGTAACTGAAAAACAATTAACAACACAGAATGGCACAATAGAAAATTTAACAAAGTAAAATTGTAAAGAAACAATAAAACAATCCTTAAACAAGTGTGTTATAGGAATGTAGGCAATGTTGCATTTCAACACCTTGCATTCAAAATCAACAATGGGATATTCACACCACGGACCTATCAAGTTGTGTGGAGTATCTGCAGAAGCACAAAATGTGAAGTAACCGGACCTCAATTTCAACTTGGTACAAAAATTAGGGACATGTCTCCCTCGCCCTTACCTTCCCTGAGGTGTGATGAAGATGGCAAATTTCTGTGATAACCCATAGTTTTTGCTGTCACTATCAACTACATGTGTCGTGTAGCGAGGGCTCTCCAGCTTTGTGCTGTCATAAAACTCCACAGAAAACCTGTCAACCAGGCCTGTCCTGAATAGACAAGACAATCATAGAATGGTAGACACATTATCACATACAGCAACAGTACAAACATTGACTGTTGTGATGTAGTGAAGTACGGTGCCACTATACCACTGTACAGAACATTCCAAAACACCAAACATTCTCCAAGGATCCTAATTTCTTCACACACATTCAACAAATATTAAAATTTGCTTTAAACTAAAGATTTACATTTAAGAATGATAATGACTTGAAATGACTCATAATATGATTTGTTTTTCATAATATGATTTGTTTTTCTGGTTCAACTGCCAATAAGAAAAAGAGGCAAAAGCAAAGAAGGGAAAGAACAAGCATTCAAGAAAAATACATGGATTTCTGTGTTGTTAAAAGTAATAAAGTGGTGAAAGTTTGGACCAAAAGTCCCCATGCAAACATTGTCCATAGGTCGGCAGCTGACATTTGAACGGGCAGGGGCCAGGTGCATAGGCAATAGAAATTGCTACGCTAAACAAGCGCTCTACTGCACACGTCTTGTGGACCCCATCATGTTCCCAGCAGTGTTGTACAATACATGACATGTTAAATGCATGTACTTGCGTCACTCTTAACAGGTACATGTACGTGGACTGTGGCAAGAAATGTAACTTTCCTGGTTGACGCATATATGCATAAGACCAGCATGAGTGTGAAAGACTGCAGTAATGGCTTCTACATGTAAGTCTGCATGCATTTATGCTATATAAGCAGAACAAGGGTTTAGGGCAAAAACTTGCTGACTGACTTACTTTGTCTGGAGTTGGTGCCTGACTATTGCATAGTGTCTGCATTCAGCAATGACTGTCAGGATCTTGTCCCCTGACTCCACCCTCTGCGGTGTGACAGCGTCAGTTAGACAGACCTCCAATGGCTGTAACAGACAATTAGTATTTAACAAACTCTGTAAAATGTTACATACTTGTATTCATTTTTTGTTCCTTGCAATAGTGCCTTTGCCCCTTTTATGTACCACCAAATCAGGATTGTAACTACGCTGGCCAACGCCGGCTGGTGCTAGCCACCATTCAAAGTTTCTGGCTGGCACTCGGGATAAAAATGCAGCTTGCCAGCCATCACAAATCACAATGTGTACTACATTATGGCAACTTTTTGGCGTTGAGAGAGAAAATTGGCCATTTTATTTTTTAAGAATTGTCATTTTGTTTCGATTTGATAAAGATCTCACCGAAAGAGAATTCTAAATAAACCTACCTGCACAACATGCTACATGTACGTGATGTACATACACGATCTTTGGTTTCTAGCATCAAATTTCCATGCTTAATCTGGTTCCCAGACCAAAAGATTCTTACTACCATAATTTTTGGAATATTCTCACACTGAAAAATGTCCCTAACAACACTCATTCATGTGACTGCTTACAGCTTGCTGCTTATACTTAAAGACTGCATACCCGAAAGTGGCACAGATCCTAACGTTGGGTACTTCGAATTTTTACCTCTAACATCTGTGTATTATTTAAGCAATATTTTACCACCAATATTACAAAATGTTAAATTTAATCAAACTCTAAATCTTCTGATTCATAAATGTCGATTTCATATACCTGCTACGAAGTTTTGATGAAATTTTATTTTGGCCCAATTTTGCAATTTTTTTTTTCCGAAGTGCAAAATGAACTCTCTTAAAATGCCACCTGAAATGTTTTTTACAATTTTGTAGTTGTGTGAGTTGAGGTGATAACACACTATGTCGAGTTGATATGAACACAGGTACGTACTTGTAACTAAGCACATGTACATGAAGGTAACACACTAATTCTTATTTCTTGCATCAATTTATTTCTTATTTCTTGCATCAATTTTATTTCTTATTTCTTGCATCAATTTTATTTCTTATTTCTTGCATCAATTTTATTTCTTATTTCTTGCATTAAATACAGTACTGGTAGCTGAGGAGATTTTCCCATGCAGAAAGGAATAGCAGGTCATAACAAGTCATTCTGAACCAGTGTCACAGGTGTCAGGTTATTTGAAATATAAATCTTTCCGAATTCATTCATGATGCGCATGTACAAATGTACATTATGTACACATGCATATACGTGCACTGGTACATACATGTACATGTGCATGGTTGGCTTGTGAGTGCATACAACCAGCATCCAGTGCAAAAACAGCCGGCACTAATAAATTCCTAGCTACAGTTCTGAACCAAATTAATCTTACCAAAGACATTCCTGGAATGGATTTGAACTTGGTACAGACGAAGGCAAAAACTGGACCTTGCTGGGATTTCAGCTGGGTCTCCCCGGCAACTTGTTCTGCCCTGGTCACCTGATGAAGACGCACCATACAGCCTCTGATAAGATTTTAAAAATATGTTTGCGGATGGGTAACTCTAACTATGCCACTACATACATTCATAATTTACAGTGTATTTATTCATGGATTGTACATTACATATGACTATGTTCAAATGCACCATACAATACATTAAACTACCATGTGGTCTAGCCAAAAGCATGTAAAGGCATATTAGGTGACCCCCAACTGTCTGACAGGGTCCATGGAGCAAAGCCAGAGATCGTAAGAGTTGATTTTGTAAAGGGAGAAAAACCTTAAAGACTCAGGGAAAAGCCCTTGTTGCATTGGAGAGACCCAACAAATCAACCGTACTCACATACACAAGGGGTAAGGAATCAAACCCAGGAAAACACTGGTAAAGCCGAGTGTTTTACGCACTAGCAACCCACATGTCCTTCTAAAAACCCGAGTCTGATTTGGTTTTGTCACTTTTGAAAGTGTTCTACAATATCAGGGGTAAAACTCTAAAATTATACATGCAAGCACTGCGTCATTGACTTCATGAATAGGTTTGTTCCTTGCTTTCATTCTCATCACTTATACACTTTCAAACAGAACTTGTGTTTGAATTTTGCACTAAAATGGCCATGTTGAGCTGTGTATAACCAGTATTCAATTTCACTGCATATTGATTCAATGGATCCGAGAATGACAGCAGTACCATAATTTTCAAAATATAAGCCACGCGGCATATAAGCCACACCACGCAAAAATTGGCAAGTTAAGATTTAAAATCGGCGTATAAGCCACATCAGCGTATAAAATGCACAGCAGTGATGACGATCCAACCATGAAGGTCATCGTGCTGTGCGCTGAAGCACCAGAACAATATGTACAGTATGTCCATGGTTCCACTACCACGACAACATGTGCAATCCCAATACAAGTAAGCAGAGTGCAAATGAGTGCCACCATTACAGGGCAAGGACGTCGTTGCTCTATGCCGCCATTAAGCATGAATTTCAAGTCAACGAAAATTAATAATTTTTGTGAGCTGGATGATTGTCCTGCATGAGCCGTGCAGCAGCTCTTGCCTTTTTTTCAGAGTTATACAGACGGAAATGTACAATAAAATCTTGATAAATAGAAGTCAGTTACGTCAAAAGACCATCTTATCTCGCAGGCTGACTTTCTCTTGCTAAAAGAGTATAATTTTATGTACAAAAATACCTCCGTAATTTAAAATGTTTACAACACTACACCTGGCTATCTCGAAATTTTTGTGACGATTGAAAAAACAATGCATTGAAAATTGCTTCAATGATAGTAGGTAAAGGACCCCCACGAGACCTTAGTTCGAGTCATCACTTCCAAGCGCGACCACCTGTGTTGCATGCATGCTGCACAGCACATGCACTGCACACAACACCCCACACCGACCACAACCATGACAAAATCCTGCTTTCGGGCTATCCTGACTGCTACCGCAGACCCGTTCACGGACAGTCCAATCACTGACTCTTTCCAATAACCACATGACCACAGAAGGTGATGTCATCAGAAAAGCTAAGTGAAAAAAGTCCGAAATTCTGTGGCATGTCACACCGAACACAATCAGCAAAAAGACGAGATGTGCTCCACGAAGGTGCAAGGTACACATACCATTTAAGCGGTTGATTTCTATTTAGCGGTAGAAAGAAACCTTTAGGTAACAAAAAAAATCTCAGTAAAATGATTACTTGTGTGCAAAAAATACACCATGCGATGGAATAAAAAAGGGGAAAATGATCACTAAAATGTTGCCATCACATCGGAGCAAGTAAAGTTGTTATGATTACGTACAAAGTTCATGTATGTGTTGGGGAATTCCATTTAATAACTCGAAATCTGGTCAACTCAAATTTTTATTTACTCTCCAAGGTTTGAGTAAACGGCGATCACCGAAAACATGACTGCGTGCCACCAACACACAGTACGCGTTTTGTGACTGATTTTATCCTTCAAAGTTTGCCGTATAAGCAGCCAAGCATATATGCGGCAGAGATAGTTTTCTGCATGAGAATCAACGCATAAGCTGTAGCTTATATTCCGAAAATTACGGTATGTTATTTACTCTGGAACATTCAAGCCTACTTTTCACTGAAGTATTCCAATAGGTGTCTCGCAGTCTGATCAGCTGCAAGCGTTATGCAGACGTAACGTCCTCCCATCTTGAGGATGCGGTGAATCTGGTCAAAGAAGCAACTGGCCGTTTCAACAGCCCCTTCCTGGCTGCCAGCCATGATGGAATCCAACCAGCCTTTGTCAAGGACGGCATTCACAGAGCCATCATCAAAATCCATCTGTGAAAAAGAATTATCTCTAGATCTCAGGCTGCATCCAAATCACTTGGCTGAGGCTTGAAATTACACAGAACTCTACTGGAAGTTGCTGCAGCATCTGCCATACACTCACGTGTATTTTCAATCCACAGCCAAGTAATTTAAACACGGTCTATACTCATGGTAAGATTTACCAGTACGTGTTGAAGCTTGAACTTAACTCTGAGACTTCTTTACAGTTTATAGTTTCTGACATTTGTTACATCTGATAGTTGTCTGTCATTTACAAAAAGGAAGAAAACCCTCAAAAACAAATGAGATGTCGGCAATCAAATGCGATCAAACAGGCTCTTGTGGAATTGAAACAGAAGATTGTGAACAGAAGAGGAATAGCAAAATCACTTTACAAACGACACAAAATCCACCACAGTTATACATCCATTTAGTTCATTTGGAATGCCCAGCATTTGGGAAATAACAAATAAAACTTAATAAATTCCACAAATTTATGGGGAAAAAAAAGAAATGAAAGGAGAGCAATTGATTTTAAGAAATAAAAAGAACCTGTAGGCAGAGCTTGGTGATGGTCAATGTGAGTGGGATAGTTCATGGCTACAATACCATAACCATGATAACTGTGCTCCCAACCCAGGGAGATTTGAAATTGCCCTACACTACTACTCGTTTGGTCATTACAATAAGCCTTCCTCTGGCAAAACCCAAGCAAAACTTGTAGCCTTCCACAGACAACCTAACTCTAATACAACAACCAGCAGACTGAGGGAAGTATGGCTATTTTGAATTCATCCCGTTAGCCTGACAAAATTTTTTTTTTCAATTATGGCACTCTAGGCTGGGCTGACACATTCAGCTCGGGGGTATTGGATGGGAGGGGCACGCTAGACCAAAAAATAAAAAGTAAGCAACAAGGTAATGACGAGGGGCTATTTTATTACAGTACTTGCCAATCTTTTTGGTGCAACACAAATAGATCACCTCTTACCTGCATCACGTCCATCTTGATGAATCTCATCAGTGGTCTTGCCTTGCTGTTTCTGTCAGTCATCTGCTTGACCACCGCCTCGCTGGCATCGAGACTAACAAGGGAGTGGTAGCCCACATCATAGAGGTCCTCGCTGAGATGAGAGTTGCCTCCGCCGATGATGAGGGTGGTGTCAGTGGGTTTGATGTACTTGTGAAGGATACCAGAGAGAATGTGATATCCCCCATACCTGCCAAGCGTAGAGTAACAAAAACCTTGGGTAAGTTCAAGGCATGATTACCTACATGTATACATTCCTCTCGCTGGTTCTTAATCCTGGTTGGCTGAAACACGGTGAAGCAGGGTTCACTAATATAGGTCAGTGCATTAAATTTGCATCAGTGTGAGCCAGATGTGTGCCAAAACATTGTACATGCATAATTTCCAAGTATTAGGCACTATACAAAAACATTTTGCCTGATTACAGTGCCCTCAATTATACCCCTTCGAAATTTCGTTTCTTAAGTACAAGAAGCATGCGTGTCCAGCGTAACGGAGGGTCAAACCTTCTTCTGGTCAGTCACATTTATATTTTGGACAGAGGTGTGTTATACAAACACAAGGATAGGTGTAAATTGGTCACACAAATGTGTACTAATTTCCAAGTAAGTCCTGGAAGTCCTGCCTATCAAGTTTCCATCCTTCTTTTTTACCAACCATCCAGCCCATGTGCCACAAATATGCTAAAGCAATGACTAGACTGCAGATGCAGCCAACTAATATTTTTTGCTGTGATGTTTAGACAATACAGTCAACTGTGAAGTATTTCTTCAATGTACTTGGAAAATTTTACTTTGTGACCAACAATAAGTAAGTCCTGGAAGTCCTGCCTATCAAGTTTCCATCCTTCTTTTTTACCAACCATCCAGCCCATGTGCCACAAATATGCTAAAGCAAAGAATTTGTCAGCATGCAAAGCGTAATTTGGTCTGCTCAGTCACTTTGGAGCTTTGAGTAGACAGAGTCCCCTACTTTCACATGACTTTCCTCACACAGTGCTGCAAAACCTCTTGTTGAAACCTTCAAGCCAACTTGGTTAAATACAGGTACCGTTAACTTTGTAGGGCAGGCTTTTGAACCTTTGTGAAGAATTTCGATGTCATTAACTTCTGTCCAAAATTCAGAAACAGTGGCGTCTGGAAATTGGGCATGAATTCTGCTCAGTGTTCTATATGTATTACACTTGAAAAATTTCAACAAATTTTTCCTTTTAAAATAAGGTCTAAGAAATTATAACATTAACTTACATACCTAACAAGTTTGTTATTTATTTTCATATTTGAGGGTCCATTTTAAATGAGTTCATTTGGCACATCAGAAAAAAATGGAAAAAACAAGCCAAAATAAAATGATAACAGAACTTTATTACAGCTGGTGACTAAAATCACGATAAGTTTGATGAATTTCACTTATAATGAAATCCAAGGTAAAAATATTGCTGCAGCAAGGCCCTACAAGGGAAAAACCAAAAGTGTGTCACATTGGCGACCATGCCGCCAAGTTAGCGTACATCAACAATATTTACTGTCCTGCAATCTTAAAACAAATTAGAATTTACCACTGACCACTCAGAAGTCTTGCATCCTGTCTTCTTTGCAATCTTATCCCAGTATTCTTCATGGCTGGGTGACACATGGCAACGAGGGATCAGTATCATCTTGTGATAGTCACACTTAACAGTATGTGCCTGTCTCCCTGAATCCAAAGGACAAAAGTAAACTTTATAAAGTTAACCTGAGAAAAACAAACTACCAAGGGTAAGCACATAAATGATACCTCAACTTTTGGTTGACAAGTACACATATCAATCATCAGTTTTACATCTTTAACAAGGTTTAGCATTAATTGGAGATGCAACCACAAACAACTAGTATGTGTCCACGGTGCCCAACTTTATCACTTTCATCATTCAGAATGAGCCACTGGTCCAAACGAATCCATCATGCTGCAACAACATGGACGCCATTCTTCAGAGAAAGGTCTCAACGTGTGCATTGAGCTGCTCCGACCCCATTACAGATTAACCTCCGACCCCTCACCATTTATACAGCCCGTTCCAGTTTTATTTAGAGGTTGTTCTCCTGGCAATAGCACTAAAGTCTCCCGATGCTACATTTTTAGAGTAGAATATCATTATTGGTTCTCATAAACAGTCAACAGCACAAAAGGTACAACTTGATAATTCCTTTTACAAGTTTTCAGATGGATATCGAGACAACTTCTGAATATAATTTCTAGATGTACAGTATGTGTACACTCATGTTTGTCCCTGCAAATGACTAGACTGCGGATGCAACCAACTAATATTTCATGAACACTACCCAAATATACATACTTTTTTTTTTTTGCTGTGATGTTTAGACAATACAGTCGACTGTGAAGTATTTCTTCAATGTACTTGGAAAATTTTACTTTGTGACCAACAATATTGAGTATTTGAGTATAGACATATTCAGAATGTTTCCCCCTTTTGACTTTAATGATGACTTTAATAATTACTTTTTTAATCACTTCTTGCCGGGCGACCCGTTTTCGAGTACATAGGCTTTATATGCAGAGCCCGGGAGCCCAGAACTGGGACAAAAGAGTTGGGCCTTATAACAAAAGACCATGCTCAGCACAAAAGACTGAGCTGCTGGGCATTACGGACATTTTTTCGCTCTCAATAGTGGAGATAATCCAGCCTTGTTTTGAAACAGTGTATCACAGTTTGAGGCATTTAGAGCGAGCGGATTACCACCAGGGACAAAAGCTCTCCACCATTTTAGTTCAACAACAGAAGATCTGACATTAGAAAAGAGACAAAAAGTGCCTCACTGAACAGACAGGCTACCTCCTGAATCAGAGGCCATGTCGCCTCAAAAGCAGCACGAACCATACCTTTATGAAAAACATGTACATGTAGTGACGTGCACTATAAAAATAAATTAATCACCTTCTATGAACAATTGGAGCACAACCCCAGTGGTTGATGAACTTGCAGAGCACTAATGAACTACCTCGGCATTACTTCTTGGAATTGAGGGCAAAATCATTGCTGCACCTCAGCGCTGAATTGTTCTGTGTAAATAACGATGGTGATGTGAATCAATGAAATAACTGCACCTATGCTGTGACAAAATAGATACAAGAATTTCACAAACAGAAACAGTCAGCAAATTGCCAAAATGGTGAACTTCTTGGGTAAGCAGTGAAGCCGTACAAGAAATATGGTACCAATAAAAGCTTTTTCACAAGGCCCCCACTTTTCCCTACATTGTAGGTAGGGCCAAGGATACAGGGCGATTACCAAATCATGTGAAAGTCTATTCCTCCAAGTGTCGTGTATTAACACTGACAATTTTGACCCCATAAAATACCCTCAAAAAATCGAAACTCGGTCCCCTCTCCATAAACGTAACCTTGCAGCTTATCAGCATAAGGTCACCGTCATTTGCCTAGGTGGGTCCAGAAATTAACATGTAATTCTCATTCAATTATACGAGCAGGGTCGCAAAGAACGCAATCCATGATAAACTGCCTGTGCTGTACTGTGTAGTGCTAGTCTGAATAGCTAGGACCCTATGAATTACCTCTTTTAACATTAATGAGCCAGTTTGGTTTTTAAAAAAAGCCAAGGTCTTTCAGGAACAAAACACGCACACGAGTCAGCATATGGCTGCGCTGATAGGACGAACTATTGCGCACAGGCAGCTATTCCTAAATAGCCTCGGGAAATAGTTCTATGTACACACTACAGTTGATGCCCCTGTACAAAAACCAACGAGATTTGTCTGAAAAAAATAGTGTTTTCTCAGTGTAAATGCTTCAGAATTTTCTCAGCTAAATTTCACTTTCTGGTGGCTGTTACAACATTTTAAGGGGAAAATTAGTGTTGTCCATACATGTATGGCACTTTCCCCTAGCCTGGTATGGGTATACACTGTTGGAATAAAGAACTGGCTCACTGGACTTAATCAGGCAATAGCCCAACCATAATAAAAGAAGCAATACGCAGGCTGGGAGCAGTGTGCCTATTACATGTAGTACTAGGCATGACTGATGACCGGGGGCCGGTTCGTTTCACACTGGCATGACTGGATGTGGATCAGTGATCCAAACGCTTGTTCGCTCCATCCACTGGTTGTGGTGTCAGTTCACCAACAACGGATCACCGATTGTGGTCTAGATACCACATGTGTGAAACAAACAGGCCCTACGGGCCATTCAAAATTTTCTAGGTTTTTTGATGTCTTTTTTGGAGGGGGGGAAATTAGTGGGTGGATACATTTTTGAAAACAAACTTTTGAAAATCCCAATTCCCTTTCATTAAAAAAAAGAAAAACTAATCAACCTTTTGACTCACATGAATTACGAGCACCATGCCAGCAGTTTGAAAGTGTGATCTATTTCAACTTTGTTCCGAGATACGGATAGAACGACCTGAGTATTGCGTGTGTAACTCCATGGGTAAAAGTTTTTTTTATAATCCGTAGTCATATACTGATTCCAATTTACCATGTAAAATCAATGCACAGGTCCACCTGCACCTTTCAGCATACATGGCATAATCTGACCATGAACATATGTTGTATAAACTAAATTTCCATCAATGTTTGTGTAGATGGGGTGCATGGAATCAGATATTAAATGGCCGTCATACATGTAAGTGGTACTTTGCAATTAAAGGCTTCCACGCAAATAAGCAACATGAACTTGCACTGCGCAAGTTATGTGGAAGCACATGAGAAACATGCACGGCAAACTGGTTCCCTACCAATAGGAATAGCAAGAACATGGCATGGGTGGGAGCCAGTGTGAGCACCCCCTGACAACATGATACGTTCTGAATTTCAACATCCTGCTTTCACAGTAGGCCTCTGTGACGAAGTAGGGGACCTGGTTACTATACCATCATGGATGTTAATCACTGCTAGTCATGCTAGTAATTACCCCCAGAACTGTCAGGTCCGATGTCTGCCCTGCTTCCCACACGTTAGTAGGCCTGAGGCTAGTGATTTTAGTAGGTTTAATGTAGCTCTACTGAGTGGAGCGTTAGTATTCCTCTTTTTGGAATTTTGGACTGGATCAGTCACACTAAAATCACACCAAAATAGTTGGAACACCTTGTGGGAAGCGAGGTGATAAGATCCCCCTCTCCCCCATTCAATGTTGCAGTCATTTGGACCGGGATTAAGGCCAGCTTACCCAATGAGAAACAACATTGACAGGGGGAGGCATGTTCCAATGAGATTTGTCCAGGATTTCAGGCCTAATGCTAGTCTGAGTAACATGGACTCTACAAGTCACCTTCTACCAAGTTCTAGTAATCGCCCAACCATGTCCAAATGTTTTTAACAAAATTTTAGAGTCCAAGTCCGGATTTACGTGCCTAACGTAATCATGCTAATACCACAAAAATTGATCAGCAGCCCCTTCCATAACGTGTTAATTAAGTTAGGCATTATTGGTTAGGCTACTTCAACTTCATTACTTGCCGAGTTAAACTTGAAGTGATCAACATGATCAGTACTTATACTATCTGTAGACCTACATGTACATGTACGCAGGCCTAAGGAAGTTAATGAAATAGGCTGACGATCTGCACGTTAATAAGTAATATATTTGCTTACTATCTACCACAGCCTCAGATTTACCAAAACAGCTTAAACGCGTACGACTGCTGTCATTTAACACATGCGCTGCCGTACTGCCAATGCTATGCTGGAACTTGAAGCTTTCGACCAACTTAGTTGTATCAAGGTACTGTCATGACTGACCCACACTGACAGTAAAAACGAACGCGCCAATATATCACGCGTACACGTGGAAATTTCAGAGCGCCCTCGTTCACAGAGACGATCATTATTTTGCCTGGCGCGTCCAAGCGTGGGGTCCTGGCGTACACAATCCCTGACTGCTGTTAGACAGGGTAGACAATGCTATCTAAATAATGAGTTACATGTAAGTTTATACATGTACATTATGTACTTATTTTCTGTCGTGCATGCTGTTTTTTGTTCTTTATAAATAATGCGACAAACTTTGAGGTTTGATATGGGCCAAACATGCAAAATATTAGTCGATGTACTGGCATTATGGCCTACCAATTATCTGTGATTTTTCCTAGTTGAGGATCACATACATTATTCAGTCTAATTGTAGCTCAAGTAATCCTGAAATTGCAATGAAATGTAACCATTGGTGTGGCACATTGTGTGCTGGAGATACTACAAAATTATTTTCAAAATGTTAACATTTTTTACTTCACTTTTTACAGGATCGGTGAAAAATCATGGCGACAGTTTGATGAAAGTGACGACAAGTTTCCCAAGTTCTGGATCGCTTCGGAAACTTCTTCGCGCATAAAAAGTAATCAAGTGAAAAATCCATTTCGCAGCCAGAATTACCATGATCACTGTAACAAACATGCATAATTTTGAGTCTAATTTTTCAGCTGCAAAATGAGAAATTTCTCGTAGGGCCTACTCCCTCCCGCGCCACAAAAATGACAAAACCATCGCGTCATATGTAGATTTGTTACAAAATACACGCATAGTTCCATTTGATGCACAATGTGGCAAAGGGGGGGGGGCCTTTTGTGTCTTCTTTTGTTATATGGGAATCTTTGGAATTCCTTCATATTTTCAGGGTGGATGCAATAGGCGCAATAGCCTTAGGGTACATGGCTTACACATCACATTAGAGGGTCCCCCTTTGCCACAGATCGTGCCGTGTGTTAGTCTGTCCGTTGTCTATTTTCCTGCTTAATTAACTTGTGAAAATCTGAAGAGAATGTCTGAACTTGGGATTATTTTTTTGCATTACGCAGAATCGCCAAATGAAAGTAAAGGTGGAAGATACACAATTAAAGTTTTGTGATGCCTCGGGTCATTTACAATAAGAGGTGCCATAATCGGGAGTGATAACAGAAATATTTCTGTACAGAAATATTTCCGTAAATCATGACTTTGGGACTTGTGGCGTGCAACTACGGGTATATGTCGTTCACAAAAACTTCAAACGCGTGGGCCTATTTTCATAGAGGTGGACGGCTACATTCAAACCTGAGTGCACAGTTTTGCTACTGTTTGGAGTGTTTTTAGTTTAAAAGGAAAAATTAACTTCTGGCCATAATCTTGAACTTCCAGACAAAAACGGGAGACCAACCCATCCTCGAGTGTCACCAGGCGGCGCGTTTTCGGTCCGATTTTTTTTCACTGTTTTTTTATGGGCGCATATTCAATGTCCTTATAGCTAGCGGGATGCAGCACTTCGTGCCCTATACCCGCCAGATGGGCGAGGCTGTATACACGAAGCTATGAGACATCGAATTCATGGTGGCAATAGCCAATGGACTAAGTAGAAATAATGAGTTCATTTTGTCATATGTTGATTCTTAGAAAGTTTAGTAGGAAGTGGGAAAAGGCCCATTGAAATGTAAACAAAGGGATCATTGAAGAAATAGGAAGCAGTGTAACATTAAATGATGCCTTCTTTCTTGGATACTTCAGTCACGACAAAAGTATGGACACGAAACTTTGTGCAATGGAGAGAGGAACCATGTACCCTTTCCAATGACGCCACAATCTCCAGATCTGGACAATTTTCGGACTTTTTATGAATATAAGGACCAAACTTAGTCAAAGGAGTTGGAAATGAGGAGCAGTGTAACACCAACTTTTACCTTCTTTTTCGGAAAACGAATTTGAACAGCAAACTTATTTTAATAGAGAGAGGAACGTGTATCCTTTTCGATGACACCGCAACCTCCACATTCATGCTCAAATATGGGGACTTCGCGCGGGAGCAAAGTGAAATATAGACAAATTAAAGAAGCACTGACGAAATAAGAAGCAATTTGACACTGACATTTATACTAGACCGAGATTTATGGGGATTCAAGACATTAATCTAAATCGTCGCGCACTCTCAGGCAGAAAGGATTGGAGAAATCCCCCCTCAAATCAAACACCGTTTTCTAAGAAAACAATACAAACAAAAATGGGAAATGGAATCTTTCAAACGTACAATAGGAGGGGCGTCATCTTAGCAGTGGGCGGCAGCGGACCTCGGGACAGTTAATTCCGACTCCGGGCTCCTACCAACATCGTCCTGCGTGATAAATCTTCGATAACGGTGTTTATAAGTTACTTTTGTTCTTTCTTGTATAAACGTGTACCCCTCACGATGAATGATGACATTTTTCATTCACAGTCCAGGGTGTTACAATGTTAATTGTCCTTCTTTTCTAAGGACGCGGCTAGAATTGTGACATGGCCAATACTGGCATTGGGACAAGAAAGCAATAATTACTCAGGCCTTCATGAGCCAACTAACAGTACATCTTATAAGAGTCAGCTCGAAATGTGTACAGTTTGAATTCTTTTTACATAGAAGTGTTTGTCTGTTCTAAATGTTCATTGGATGTTACTGCAAAATCATGAGATCACCATACGCATTCCATCGAAAAAAAGTGAACTGGAACGCTGAGAAAGACGCATGCACCGTGACGTGGACATAGTCGTATATACGTATGCGTGCGGCTCTGTACATGGCGGAGCGCCCTCATTTGATTGGCACGGAATCGACAGCGTGATTATCGCATATCATATCATATCATATCATGCATGCAATTCGTGTCGCATAGGCTCGTTAAGTGAGCTCGCGCGCGAATGCACATGTGGCACAAATCCTCCGTCGACTGTATGCCATTGCAAACTTAGGCCTGGCCATATTTGTCAGATCCAACGGCTCTAAACTGAAGGCTTGAACGGCACTAAGCAAGGTACAGTATAATCTGAGTACGTTAGCATATGTTCCCAATGAGTTGTAGTTATCGATCAGAACTGACTTTCAACGTTAAACGCGTTCGTTAAGTTTACGAAGTCCAAAGATGGCTTGACACGTGTGTCGTGTCTTTTGTATGGCGTTCACGTGCGAAAGAAATGTGCTGGCATGTGGTATTTTATGAAGGGGATTATACTTTTATAGGCCTACCATTCTCTCACCCCTCCCCCTTTCGCATGTTCAGGCTTTTTATGTGAGTACAAAAAATGAAGAATAATTAAAAATGGATATCGAACGTTGGTGCTTGGGTGATTGATGGATGATTGATGGATGAGTGGTCGGGATAGACATGGTAATGTTACGCCCCAACTATAGTTGGGACAGTCCCAACTATAGTTGGGACAGTCCCAACAGTAGTGCTGCAGTTGGGCCGGCCCAACTATTGTTGACCAATGTTTGTGGCAAATGTCTCAATATTATCCAAGTCAATGTGTCTCACACTTGACACAATTCATCAAACTAAAATGTGGCACTTCATCTTTTCATCTAGCCCTATGAGTATGACCAATGACATGACACTTGTAAACAATATGGCTTTGGCACATGCTGGGCACATCTGCACACAGGACCTCTCTGCTGTAGTTGGGCCGGCCCAACTGTAGCACTCTAGTTGGGACGGGCCCAACTATCATGACTATAGTTGGGACTTATCCTAGTATAATCGGGGCGTAACACCAACGTTAGATTTACATGTAGTAGGCGTGGGGGTAGGCCAAATGTACAAAAAGGGAATGGGGTAGGCTACCCCTTTGGGATTCATTGTCCACGGACAGTGCAGCTGACAACAAACCATAGAGTATTAGGGGTAGGGGTTTTTTGTGGGACTGGTACCATGGTCTGTGCTTCCGCTACTTTTCTCTTGACCATGTTGGCCCCTTCTCTTCTTTCCCCTCGTACAGGTGTAGCACCTGTCCATCCCTCTTTTCTTTCACTAACTGCTTTGCCACCTAATAGGAGTAGGCCTATATTTGGAAAGAGTTCCACACACGGACATCACTTGACACCCCCGTGCACAAAAGAGACTGGTCTGAAAAATTCTATTTTCTAAGCTAACTGCTTTGATTTTTTCCCTGCTAAAGTTGACTGTTTTGGACATGTTAATCTCCGATGGCCGATGCACATTTACCGTACCACTGTAGGAAAGTTAGTGATGTCCATATGGAACTCACCCCTGTTTTTCCATCATCACCAGTATTACCCAAGTGTGCTGTGAATGTGGGACTTCAACAGCCTTCATGTGTCATGATTCACTGCTCCCGAGCCTTGATCACTCGTCTTTTACATGATGTGAATACATGAATAGTAATTAGCCCAAAAGATGTTTAATTAGATAGCATAAAACTGTGGAATATTCCAACCCAGAAGGGTAGCACCGTACTTATCACCCCGGCATTGAGAAAGACAGAATAAGCAGAAATGCAACTTTTCCTTGGATCAGCTAATTTCCTTGTTTATGGCTTCACACCCATGGCATTGAAAATTGAAAAATACTGTACCAAGTGTCAAAGTAAAGAGGGGCATTTCCTCATTTTTTGAAGTCCAATTTTCATGCCTGTATAAGATCGCACTGAAATTATGATCAGAAACCTGTGCCTTTCCTGCCCAGCTCATGCAGGAAAGGCATACATATGCCTTTACTTATGTATGTACATTCATGCAGGACAAAACAAAGAACCAATCCAATACCAATATAAATGTACATGTATAAAGGACATAAAGGACACTGAAAAATGAAAAATGTATATACAGGACCAAACCAAGATATGTAGGACAAAAAAAATGTCATAAAGAGCAAAACAAGCATGTATATATAGGACCAAGACTAGACATAAGGGTGTCTTTTAAAAAAAAGAAACCCAGATTAATTAATATACATGTATATCTTGCGTGTGACTGATAAGTTTTGTAAATGGTGATATAATCTGTTGCAGTTTGATCTCTCTCTTATGACATCACAAAATTTATATTTCTATCGCACATGAGTGAGCACAAAGTGGTTTAATAGACCGTGTTGTAGCATGTATAGTGGCCAGTTTGCACCAGATGCAACAGAGATGTGCACAGTTTATGCAGTAAGTACGCTACCAAAATCTTTGATTCAAAGATGACCACACTCAGGGGCTTATTCTTGCTGCAGCCTAATGCCAGTGTCCTTCAACATGCCCTGATATCTTTCAACACAAACTTCTGGCCTTGTTCTCATCACTTTTAGATTGTATCATGTATTTTGGAGATTCTAACAAACAGCTTTTTGGTGCCAAGCCCTTTCTGACTTGGTCCATTAAACCAACTCATGCTCAGTCATCTGCGACAGAAATTTGGATTTCTTTTTGGTGTCATACAAAAGAAGACATCATAATGAAACAGGTGAGGCTTACCATTTACCAAAATAATTACTCGCATTCAAGAAACAAATTTATCTCGTTTTTTTTTTTCAAATACACCAGGCTGTATGGCACGAAACAAATTTAAAGAACCAAACAAATATTTACAAAACCAAACAAATATGTAAACAAAATTTCAGCTATGCCTGTTGGGTAAAAGTATGAAAAAGTATTGTTTAAAAGTTCTCTGTGGCAGAATGAATCAATACCCTAGGATGGTAGTTTCAATGTAGTGCACATGTCCAATCTGGGCTAGGCACTAACCAGTGTCAATGGCTGTCTGTGACCTGAAGTGTAGGAGATTGCACATAGCCATGACAGGAGATTGCAATATTTATGCCATTATTGGCTGTGTCTGTGTTCTTTCAGTAGGCCCTGTGCTTTTATTGATGTAAATATGCCGGATTTGCACATGTGCATTGTACATGTATTGTGCAATTGAAGGGGGGAGGGGCCCTGATAACTGGAGTGGGGGTACATGTATGCGTGTAGCCCCAGTGTTGTAGATACTCAGTAACTCTGCACACTTGGCCACATGTTCAGCTATTGAAAATCTTTGAAATGAAAGTAAGGATTTTTTTGGTCAGCACGGCCGGAAACGTTTAATCAATGCATCTTGTTGTTATTACATGTATTTCCTGCAGTTGCCTTTACACCTGTATGAATTCCCAAGCTGTTCATTTGCCTAGTGTCGATGGAGCATTTTCTTTGTGTGTGCACCCAATCTTATCATTTCCAGTTGTGGAAGATAATTCTGCAGAGGATTTAAAGTGAGTGTGATAATTGTACTCATTTATGTAGCGGTCCGGTCTTTCAGCAGATGTCAGGAGGGTGGAGATCCGTCTGCCAATTAAGGAGGATAGGAGGTGCAAAACCAGGCAAAACAATGGACTCGAGGCGATTGTGGCTTGATGCCCTTCGATTTATTCCCAGGTGTCAATCAGCAATGAAATTGTAATCAAAAAGAAGCCAAGGAAAAAAAGACCCTAAAGAAAGACAGAGGACATACTATTAATGAGTGATGGCTTACATTGTAATAAACGTTACCTTCGCTTTGTCCATGATAAAGTCACAATACGAAATGTCTCTGTACAATCATAAATTCTCTTACCCTGACGTCTAAAAGTTTGCCCAAATTGGTGTGAACTCTGAAGCCAACAGAAATTTAGGGCTTAGGTTATCTCACAGGGAGCCATGTTGCTGTAACTGCCAGCCCACCAAGATGCAGGTCTCAAGCATGGGACTGTCACTGAGAAAAGCCCAGAAACTTCTCAGGTCCCGCCAAAATGTAATACAATGTAAGCAACTTCCGGCCGAAGGGCGTGGCTTAGAGATAATTTAAGTCTGCATACGGCAAGAGATGCTCATACTCGCACATTGATCTCGTGCCATAGACCAGCAGGTCAGACTTCATATTCGCATAAAAGGTAATTATCTCACCGCGGAAACCCCAGATCCCTACATTTACATGTAAGCATATGTACATGTATACACGTATGCACTGATGACTCTCGTTCCGATCCTGTCATGCTCTGCATTTAGCACTGTGATACATCATCAGGTCATAGAGCTATTTCCTCTGTGCCTTACTGTTTTTACAGTTTTGCTGTCTGACCGTAATAAGGCAAAAGACCTTTTGTCCAAAGTGGGAAGTTCAACATGTTCAGTGCCTGCGTAGGGGAACAAGTGGTGAATAGCACGTGAAGGAATGAAGCAAATGAAGAACTGGGCCCAGAACATAAGGCTGTCAAGATTGGCTGTAGATGCACAACTGTGGAGTGTATGTTAAGGATATACAAACCCTTGTATACTCTTTCAAAACAAGGCTGGATTATCTCCACAATCGAGAGCGAAAAAATGTCTGTAATGCCCAGCAGCTCAGTCTTTTGTGCTGAGCATGGTCTTTTGTTATAAGGCCCAACTCTTTTGTCCCAGTTGCGGGATCCCCGGCTCTGCATATAAAGCCTATGTACTCGAAAACGGGTCACCCGGCAGGAAGTGGTTAAACCCTCCAAAACAGCCGGGAGGATTTTTGAGGATTGTGGTTGAATGGCAAATGTGCATGGCTTATTATGAAGGATGCCATGTATGAAGGTTGTGGGTTAGACCTTATGTTGTGTTTGCTCAGTCATGCATAGATTCAGCAAAATTTCTTTTGAATCATTGCACCTCTTAAGAATGCCATTTGCCCTGCATCAATATAATGACAGGAATTGCCGTAGGATTTTGAATGATTGAGGCAGTAGGCACACCTCCAAGTTACATTTCAAAGAAATTTTGGAGGACTGAGGAAAAATCCAAATTTTTCACCCCCCATATTGGTAGATTTTTGAGGATTTAGAAGGGTCCCTAGTAAAAAGGGCCAAGGGGGTAGGGTAAATTAAACTACTGAAGCACACACGCCATCTAACACCATACAAAATCAGTTTAGAAAGGTATTGAAATCCTTGGATAGGTTGATGAATACTCCAGTGGTATACAGCTTGTCTTATAATGAATTAAAGATAACATGTAGGGTCAGGGAAGTGAATGAGAGCCATGTCAGTAGAGTAATTGCTTCGAAACTTTACAACTTTTGTAAAGCAAGGGAGAACAGAAATAGGCCGGTAGTTATGAATGTCCTCAGGATAGCCACTGTTATAAACAAGATTGATCTAATAGCAATAGTATTGTCAATTATTTCAACAGCTTTACTCGGTGTAAGGAATAAACACAATGTGGTTGAATTGTACATGTCAACAAAGTGGGAGTTAATTATATATAACGGGTTTGCCCTTACCCAACGTATATTA